ACTATATGTTCGACTATGTGTTCGACTATGTTCTCGACTTTGTGTTCGACTAAGTATTCGACTATGAGTTCAATTAGGTGTTTGATTTTGTGTTAGTCTATGTGTTCGACTATGAGTTCAATTAGGTGTTGGATTTTGTGTTCGACTATGTGTTTGACTTGGTTTTCGAGTTTGTGTCCCACTTTGTGTTCGGTTATGTGGTAGACTATGTGTTCGGCTATGTGTTCGATTATGTGTTCGTTTATGTGGTCGACTTTGTGTTCGTCTTGCTGTTTGATTTTTTTTGACTCTGCTTTCACTTTTTTGTTCGACTTTGTGTTCGACTATGTGTTCGAGTTGGTGTTCCGTTATGCGTGCGACTATGTGCTCGACTATGTGTTCGACGGTGTGTTCGAATTTGTGTTCCATTATGCGTTCGACTATGTAATCGACTTTGTGTTCGTCTATTTGTCCGACTATTCGTTCGCTTTTGTGTTCGACTTCGTGTTCGACTATGTTTTCGACTTGGTGTTCCGTTTTGCGTTCGACTTTGTTCGACTTCTATTCGACTATCTGTTCGACCATGTGTTTGACTATGTTTTGACTCTGCGTTCGACTATGTGTTCGACTCTGTGTTCGACTATGTGTTCGGGTAAATGTTCGACTATGTTCTCGTATTTGTGTTCCACTATGCGTTGGATTATGTGTTCGACTATGTGTTCGACTATGTGTTCGACTATGTGTTCGACTATGTGTTCGACTATGTGTTCGACTATGCATTGGTTTATGTGTTCGACTATGTGTTCGACAATCTGATTGAGCATGTGTCTGGCTATCTGATCGACTATGTGTTCGACTATGTGTTTGACTCTTTGTTTGGCTATTTGTTTGACTCTGTGTTCGACCATGTTCCCGACTTTGTGTTCGACTATGTGTTCGACTTGGTTTTCGATTTTGTGTCCCACTTTGTGTTCGACTATATGTTCGACTAAGTGTTCAGCAATGTGTTCGACTATGAGTTCGACAATGTGTTCGACTATGTGTTCGAATATTTGTTTGATTATGCGCTCGCTTTTTTGTTCGACTTTGTGTTCGACTAGGTGTTCGAGTTTGTTTTCCGTTAAGAGTGCGACTATGCGTTCGACTATGTGTTCGACTATGCGTTCGACTTGGTGTTCCATTATGCGTTCGATTATGTAATCGACTTTTTGTTCGACTTCGTGTTCGACTATGTGTTCGACTTAGTGTTCTGTTTTGCGTTTGACTTCGACTATTGGTTTGACTATTTGTTCGACTATGTGTTTGGCTATGTGTTTCACTCGATGTTCGACTATGTGTTCGACTATTTGCTCGAGTATGTTCACGACTTTGTGTTCGACTATGTATTCGTTTAGGTGTTCGACTTTGTGTTCGTCTATGTGTTCGACTGTGCGTTGGCTTGTGTGTTCGACTATGTGTTTGACTCTATGTTCGACTATTTGTTTGACCATGTATTCGACTATGTGTTCGATTATGTGTTCGACTATGTGTCCAACTATGTGTTCGTGTAAATGTTCGACCATTTGTTCGATTTTGAGTCCGACAAATTGTTCGACTATGTGTTCGACTAGGTGTTCGACTATGTGTCCAACTATGTGTTCGTGTAAATGTTCGACCATTTGTTCGATTTTGAGTCCGACAAATTGTTCGACTATGTGTTCGACTATGTTTTCGACAAAGTGTACGCCAGCGCGTTCGTCTTCGTGTTCGACTATGTGTTTCACTCTGTGTACGCCTATGTGTCCAACTATGTGTTCGGCTTTGTGTTCGGCTATGTGTTCGACTATGTGTTTGATGTTATGTTTGCTTGTATGTTTGAATAAGTGTTTGACTATGTGTTCGACTATGTGTTCGACGTTTTGTCCGACTTTGGGTTCGACTATGTGTTCGACTATGTGTTTGGCTATGTTTTCGACTTTGTGTGCGACTTTTGTGTTCAACTATGTGTTCGGCTATGTTTTTGGTTGTGTGTTTGCCTATGCATTCGACTATATGTTCGACTATTTGTACGCTTATGAGTCCATTAATGTGTTCGGCTATGTGTTCGACTATGTGTTCTACTAAACGTTCGACTATGTGTTCGACTATGAGTTCGACTATATGTTCGACTGTGTGTTCGGCTATGTGTTCGTCTATGTGTTCGACTATGCGTTCGATTATGTGTTCGACTATGAGTTTGACTATGTGTTCCACTATGTATTCGACTATGTTTTGTTGACTAGGTGTTGGACTATGTGTTCGACTATATGTTGGACTACGTTTCCCTTTGTTTTTCGACTATGTTTCGACCATGATTTCAACTCTGCTTCGTATTAGTGTTTGACCGTAAGTTGTGTTTTTGACTATGGTATTTGCGTCGAACAACATCCATCTTTTTGACCGAGTTCAAAAATTAGTTCACAGTCAAACACCTCAACCTGGAAAGCTCCCATTTTCAGAAATGTTCTTTCATCTTCATTTGATGCGAATGGCTGTCTCCCGGCTGCAATCTTATAGTTTTTGGGCGATTGATGGTAGTTTTCTAATTTTCTAAAAAAACTTTCTCTCTTCCGAAACCGATCTATCCATAAATGAGTGCTTTGGGTTAGCTTGCCGGTTTCTGAGTTGTCGCTCGATAAGGGCAAGTACAACATGAGCGAAAAAAAAACACTTCTGTTTGACTGAATAGCCTGAATACGAGACAACAGTTAACTTTTTTCAGCAATCGGTCGTCGTTTGTGAACAACTTGTATAAGCCAACTGTCTTTTGGACTTGAAAGCTGGTAAAAAATGCATAGTCTTCTTTATGGAAAGATATAATGAAATTTGTTTCAATTTTGCTTGAATTAAAATCGTTGCGATGATCCATTGATTGATAGGGTTATAAGCCGCTTACCTAAGAATCCCGGCTCAAAAAGTTTAGGGAAAACCCAGACTGCCTAAAACTTGACTAACATAAAACTATCAGAGTATGTTTTGAATTGGAGTTTTTGTGACTAGCAACACACTTTTCACAAGAACAGATGTATATATACGGTGCTGATAAATGAAGCGCTGATTTAAATTGTCCCGAAAAAGCACTATAAGGTATGCTTTTAGACAAAACTGATGAGACAAAAATATACATGGAATTTTGTCCAAATCAATATGGGTATAATTTTCTGCGAAATTCGGACACGCAATTTTGTCTCAACTTGGTTACCAAAAGGTTCATTGTTGATTTTTTTTATAGTGAAACTTACTTCGTTCGGAAAAGCAACCTTATTTGTTTTTCTACACAATTTTGTTTCTTGTTTTCTTTTTATAAATCATTTTAGTTTCATGATTTGTGCTAACTTAATTCGCTTCTCTGCATTTACTTTCCTAGACCGCAACTTTTCTACCCAAATTTATCTAGAAAAGCAACCTGAAGTGGTTTATAGAAACCAGTAAAAAACCTGCTCTTCAACTTAGAGAAAGTTTTTGGTATCTTGTCTGGCTACATTTAGTAAAATATGAGGAAGTTTAGTAACCGAGTACGCCTTGAGTAAGGCAGAAAGTTTAATTAGTTTGCTACAGTTTTAAACAGATAACAAATCATTTTATTTATTTTTCTGGGATTTGAAATGGGTCATAACTCATCTTTGTTTTTGATTTTTATAGACTGATAAATTATTTAAAAATTTCAATCATGCTTTTTAATGATGGAACAGTTTTTTTTGGCTATATAACCCTAAACAATTGAATATTTCTCATGAAAAAAAACAGGTACTCTGATTTTAGAAAAATTGGTTTGTTTTTGTTAATGAAGTGTAAATATTGGCTAAAACACAGTCCACTATGATTATCTTCCGGGCTGCTCGATCCATGATTAAACTGGAAAAGGTCGAATCGTATCCTGTTATTAATCAAAAATTAGAACTGTCGAATGAAGACTTTAAACAAAGTCAAATCATGGGTCGAACAGGGTCGAGTCACGGAACGAATAGGGTCTAATCAAGATAAATTGCCGTTTAAGGGTTAAAAAACAAATTTAATCTTACTTATATTTGTCTTGATGTGTTTTTCTGCCAAAAATTACAAAAAAGACAATCTTAAACAGTATTTGAATTTGAAAGAACTTTTACGCGATATATTTGTTTCTTCGAATTACAAAAAAAAATGAAACAATTTGTTTAAAATATATCAATACGTTCTTCGGCTTCCTTCTTGGAAACGTTTTCGACTCCTTCTGCCGTTTTTTGTCGAAGCATTCTTATTCTTTAAATGAAGTCCTTTTTGTCATAAAGATTTTCATCTATTCTGAAAGTATTTTGGGATTAGTCGGTCGTTTATCAGTAAGTAACCGAGTAAGAACATACCACTTGTCTCGTCAAAAACAATGAGGTTAAATTAAAATGAACCAAGCGTAGTAAAAACTGAAAAGCCTGAAAAGCTTTTTTTTTCAGGCAATTTTTTTGAAAAAAGGCAAAAAAGGCGTTTTTAGGCACTTTTTGGAAAATTTCGACCAAAATTCTGCGTTTTTTCGGCGAGCACTCCACTCTCAAAATTAGTATAGATTCGCGCCAAAAACGCCTTTAGAAAAATTTTAAGCTTCCTTTAGAAAATTTCTAACGTCCCCCCGCCCCTCCCCCTAAATCCGCTACTGGTCATGATGTTAATAAAAATTGGCTAGAAACAAATTTAGTACGCTAGTATTATACTTTGTAATTTTTTATACCTAGTTAGTATTTTATTATGATGATCAGCAATTTTGACCGACGTCAATGACATGAGTTTTACACGCCTCGGTCGAAACGTATATTGTAAACATCGAACCAGGCCATATTGAGACTTTGCGCGACACATGTTGCGATTTGTGCGACCCGTTTGTAGCTATGTAGCGACTTTTCGTGACGCATTGTACAACTTTGTGTGGCTCAAAATTCAGACGAGAACTTTTGAAATTTTGTTTTTGGAAATGTAAGTCACGTACCTCTGCCCGAATGCTAATTTATGTAATTAAAAGAATAATTTTTTCTCAGGTGTTGACAATACACGCTGGCTATGGCACTTCGATGTATGCCATCAGTGGCTTCTTTATCTGGATAAGACTTCTTTCTTTCTACAGATGCAGTCGCAAACTGGGTCCACTCTGGATCATGCTGCGCAAAATGATGCACGAGGCACTGGGCTTCATGCTCATTTTCAGCACCATAAGCATCGCAGCCGGCATTTCCATGCAAGTTAGTAGTAAATTGGGGTCGCTTCAACTGTCCTTCTTTTCTTTTGGAAAAGGGGAGACAGGGGTTTGTAACTAGTTACAGAATTCACACAGATCAACCGTTGAATTAGTTCTTTAAAGGGCTGGCAATTCGTCAAGGGGGAATACAGTTAAAGATATTCATAAGTTTCGACTAGTTAATCATATTCTCAAGCTAAACAAAACATTGCCAGCAAAATTAGCATATATCGATTCTGTTTTGAACATATACAGTATTTGCAGTGGCGGATCTAGGATTTTCTCGAGGCGAGGAGTCGGACCTTTGTCGACCTTCTCGACCTTTTTTTTATAGGTCGACCAAATTGATTTTCGGAGCGATTCCAAGTTACTATATAAACCCTATTTTGTCAAACGTTTTTCCGCCGCAGTCAAAATTTAGAAAAAAGCTGGTTAAAAACAGGTTTTCGGGCATTTTTTGAAAAAATTTGACGAGAAAATTGCGTTTTTTAGCGCGCGCTCACCCTCAAAAAAAATGAGTATCTTTATAATAATTAGTATCTTTAGAAAAGGCTTCTTTAGAATAATTTTTAGACTGTTCCGTTTGAGGAGACCCTTTGGTTGTTGAGGGATTCGAATCCCTGATGGGGATGCGTCCGCCACAACACCCCCTTCACCCCTAAATCTGCCCTTGCGTACTTGTATTGTTTTATTTTTCCTCTTGCTTTCACAAATGGCCATCTTTTGCAAACGAATGGCCATCTTTTGAAAGGAACATCACTTTGCAAAATTTAATTACAGATTTTATGACAGCAAATCATTGGCCCATTCTTAAAAATATAAGCGATCAGTTACCAAATTTAAATTTCAAGTTTGAAGGCTTTCGTTGCTTCAACAGCATTTTTTACCATAAAAAATGTATGATGAGATTTTCTAACTGCTCTTGAAGGTGACATCCGTAACCAACCAATTTTTGACAAAAAACTCCATTTTTATTGTTAGATGAGAAGAAAAAAGCCCATATTTGTTTTAAACCAAAAAAAATACGGCTGCAAAGACAAAATTTTTCACTACCGGAAGCGTGCTTTCACATGAAAACATGAATCATTTTGCCGTGAAACGGTTTTGGCTTTGCGCCCCCATTAGGAATGTCATCGATAAGGAATGTCATCAATTAGGAAAGGCATCATGTAGGAATGTTCTTAATCTAGGAATACAGCATTTGGGAAGGTCATCGTTTAGGAATGTCATCATTTAGTAATGTCATTTTTCGAACTGTCGTAATTTAGCAAAGTCATAAGCTAGGAATTTCGTCTTATAGGAATGTTATCGTTTAGTAATTTCATCTTATAGGACTGTCAAAATTTATGGATATTATCAGTTAGGATAATCATCATTCAGGAATGTCATCAATCAGGATTGCTTTGATTAGTTCAGTCATCACTTTGAAAAGCCATAACTTTGGATTGCCTTCGTTTTGTATTTTATCCTTTAGGAATGTGATCATTTGAGAAAGTAAACATCAAGGAAGGCTATGATTTAGGAAAGACGTTATTTACGAAAGTCATCCTTTGGGAATGTCAACAATTTGAAATGTCATTCTTAAGGAAAGTAGCCATTTAGGAAAGTCATCTTCAGGAATAAAATAGTTTAAAAATGCCATACTATACGAAAATCATTCATCAGAAAATATGTCATAATTTAGAAAAAGCACCATTTAGGAAAGTTATCAGCTGGGAAAATCTTGAACTAAAGTCATCATTTAGGAATGCTATTATTTAGGGTTGTCAACTTTCAGGAATGTCATCCTCTAGAAACTTAATAGTTTTGAAACGCCATATTGTAGGAAAATCTTTCATCATATAAAAGTGTCATCTTTTATAAAAAGCATCTGTTCAAAAATTTATCAGTTAGAAAAATCATCATGTAACATCATTATTTTTTTCAGAATTGTAATCATTTAGGAACATCAATATGTAATGCCATTATTAAATCTTGCCCTTCTTTAGAATTGACAGAACTTATGAATGTCATCATTTAGGAAAGTCAACCTAAAGGAATGTCATCATTTAGGAGGGATGTCATTTAGGAACGTCATCATTTGGGAATGTCATCAATTTGAAATGTCATCAATAAAGAAAACACCTATTTGGGAGTGTCATCTTTCGTAATGTAATCGTTTAAAAAAGTCTCACAGTAGGAAAATCATTCATCATTAAAAAATGAAATCTTTTACGAAAAGCACCATTTAGGAAAACTATCATTAGGGAAAAATCTTCATGTAGGAAAACTCATCAATTAGGAAAGTAATCAATAAGTAATGCCATTATTAAACATTTTCCCTAGTTTGGAATGTCAGAATTTAGAGAGAAGCATCCTCTAAGAATGTCATCATTTAAAAACGTCAGCATTTAGGAATGATAATTTTCTTCTATAGTTACATTCCTAAATGATGTTATTCTGAAAAAATGACGCTTCCTAAATGGTGAAAATCCTAAACGATGACTTATTTGAGGATTGCCCTGTTTCAGGAATGTCATCACTATGAAAAATCACTTTTTAGGAAAGTCATCATTTAGTATTGCAGTCTTTTAGGAATGTCATAATTAGGAATGGCTTTACTTGAGAAAGCCAAAATTTAAGAATGTCATCATTCAGGATTGTCAATTTACAGGAATGTCATCATATAGGAACTTCATCATTTAGAAAGCTCATCAGTTAGGAAGTTCATTAAATAGGAATGCCATTCTTCGTAGGGCCATTTTTTGTTATAGGAATCGTTTAGGAATGTTATCGGTTAGGAAAACCTTTTTTTTTAGGAAAATCACCTCTTGTAAGAAACTCATTTAGCAATGTCATCACTTAGGACTGTCTTTATCTGGGAACATCATCAGTTGGGATGGTCATCATATAGTAGTGTCATCATTTAGGAATGTCATCATTAAGGTGTGTCAAATTTTAGGAAAGTCATCAGTTAGGATTATCATCATTTAAGAATGTTATCATTTAAAGACGTCATCACTTAGGAATGACAACATTCGCAAATAGTTACCTTCCTTATTGAGGATATTTTAAAATAATGACAATACTAAATGGTGTTTTTCCTGATTGATGACCTGTTTGAGGATTACCCTAATCAAGGAATGTCATGATTAAGAAAAGTCACCTTTTAGGAAAGTCATCATTTAGCAATGCAAACATTTGGGATTTCATAGTTAGAAATGCGATTATTTAGGAATGCCAAAATTGATGCATTTCACTGTTTTGGAAAACCATCATATATGAACCCAATCATTTTTATTGCAATAACTTAGGAATGTTTTTTTTTCAGGACTGTTATAATTTAGGAAAGTCATCAATTAGGAATGTCGTCATACAGGAATGTTATCGTTTAGTAATTTCATCATTTTGGACTGTCATAATTTATGATTGTTGTAGTAAGATAATCATCCTTGCGGATTACCATCATTCAGGGGTGTTATTATTTAGTTAAGTCATCTTTTACATAACTTTGGGGTGTCTTCGTTTGGATTTTTTATCCTGCATGAGTGTCATCTTTTAGGTTCGGAAAATCAACATTAAGGAATGTCCTCAATTAGGAAGTATGTCATTCAGGAAGGTCATCATTTAGGAGTGTCGTCAATTTGAGAGGTCATCATTAAAGAAATTAACCATTTAGGAAAGTCATCTTTCGGAATGAAATCGTATAAAAAAGTCATACTGTAGGAAGTTCATTCATCATAAAATAATAATATCATTTACGAAAAGCACCATCTAGGAAAGTTATCAGTAAGGGCAATTTTCAAGTTGGCAAGCTCATCAAACAGGAATGTCATCAAAAAATAATGCCACCATTATATATTGTCCTTATTTTGAAATGGCAGATGCTAGAGAAAGGAAGTCAACATTTTGGAAGACTCTTTTATGAAAGTCATCATATTGGAATGTCAACATTTAAGATTTCCATCCCTTAGGAAAGTAATCATTTAGTAAAATCAACAAAAAGCAATGTCATTGTTAAGAAAAGTCATCGGTTCGTAATGATATCATTTAGGAAACTAATCATTTGCGAATGTCATCAATTAGGAAAGTCCTCAATAAGAAAATTAACCATATAGGATTGTTATCAATAGGAATGCAATCATTTAAAACTGTCGTACTGTAGGAAAGTTATTCATCATAAAAGAATGGCATCATCTACGAAAAGCACCATTTAAGAAAGTTATCAGTAGAGAAAATTTTCATGAAGGAAAGCTTATCAATCGGGAATGTCATCATTAATTAATGCCATTTTTAAGTGTTGTCCTTTTTTGGGAAGTAATCATTCAAAAATGTCATAGTGTAGGAAAGTCATTCATCATATATTATTGTTTTAATTTTTGAACGGCAATAATTTGAAATGTTGTCAGTTAGGAAAATCACCATGTAGGAATGTCATCAGTTAGGCATGCAGATTTTAGGATTGTCAACATTAAGGCATATCATCATCTAGGATTGTATATGATTAAAAATGCCGTATTGTAGGAAAATCTTTCATCATATAGGATTTTCATCATTTATTAAAGGCATCGTTCAGGCTGTTATCAGTTAGAAAAACGATCATGCAGGAATTTCATTTTTCGGAATGTCATCTTTTGAGAACCTAATTACTTAGCAAGCTCATCAACTAGCAATGTCATCAATTAGCAATGTCATCAACTAGCATCGTCATGAATAAGTCACCATTTGCGAATGCCATACATTGGGGATAAAATAATTGATGACATTCCTAAATAGTTACAACCTAAATGATGACATTACTAGGTAATGATATTCCTAACTGATGGCTTTCCCAATTGTTGGTTTTAATAATTGGTGACTCCTTTGAGGAAGATATTAACTGAGGAATACCATCATTAAGAAATGCCGTTTTAGGCAGTGACATTGCTTAGGAATGCAACCATTTAGCAATGCCATCATTAGGAATATCATTATTTAATATTGTCATTTTTTAGGAATGTCACCAGTTATGATTGTCTTTTTATAGGAATGTCATCGCTTAGGAATGTCATCATTTAGGAAGCTCATCATTCGGGAATGTCATCTCTTTTAGTAGAGTCAACATCTGAGATTGTTAGTTTTTAGGAATTTTACAAACATTCCTAAATGATGACAATTCTAAAATTTTTGATCCTAAATGTCGAATTTCATTAACAATGACATTCCTAAACGATGACCTTCTCAAATATTGATGGTATTGATGGCATTGCTAAATGATGGCATTCCTAATTGGTAGTTTTCGTACTTGATGACTTGTTTGAGGATCACCCTAATTGATTAATGCGATTATTGAGGAAAATAATCAGTAGGAATGCCATCACTTAGAAGTTTAAACATTTAATAATGTCATCATTAGGATTGCCATAATTTAGGAAAATTTAGGAATGTCATCACTGAGGAACGTCATCATTTAGGAAAGTCATCAATTATGAAAATCATCTTTTAAGAACGTCATCTTTTAGGAGTGTCAACATTTAAAACGTCATAATTTAGAAATTTTATCAGTTAAGAAAGTCATTATTTAGGAATTTCATTTTTAGGAGTGTCATCCTTCATAAACGTCATCTTTCATGAAGGTCGTCATTAGGAAGGTCATCTTTACAAATGTCATAATTTCGGAAAAACATTCTTTAGAAAATTTTCATCATTGAGAGTTGTCACCATTTAGGATTGTCATCATTTAGGAATGTCATGAATTAAGAATGTCATCATTTAGGAATTTCAACATTTTTTAAGTCATTATCGGATTGTAATCTTTTAGGTATAACATTATTCATTACGTAATCCTTCAGGAATTTCAACAATTAAGAATATTTTAGAAATGTTACAAGTTAGGACTGTCATCATTTGAGAATGTCATCATTTAGGAACATTGTCAGTTAGAAATGTTATCATTTAAGAATTTCATCTTTAGGAGTGTCATCATTTAAGAATGCCATAATTTGGGGAGTTGTCATTTAGATTTGTCATATATCTGACGCAGTCTCTTTTTAGAGTCTCATGGACGTGTATGGCTACGAGGACCAGTACTCTTCTGGAATCCAGTGGCTATGGCTCCGCCCTTTTTTCATGTTCACGGGGGAGAACTTCCTCAAAACAGTGGGATCAACAGAGAGAGACGACAATTTCATCGTCTGCTATTCGATTGTTTGCATTGTCTTTTTTCTTCTGGGCAACGCACTCATGCTCAATCTTCTGCTGGCCATTTTCTCCGAGATTTTCAAGAATGTGTTCATGCAGTAAGTACTCTTAATCAAAGCTGAATCTATATCTCTTTGTTAACCGATTAAATATTTTCAAGGTTGTCTTTTGTACCAAATTAAAATACAGTCATTTGCAGTCAAACCATTTTAGATGCCGGAAAAATACTCACCGGACAAAACACATTTGAAAGTGATTATACTGATAAACTGAAATTTATAATATGTAATATGTCACCAGAAAATTGTTGTGAAAAACTGAGTACGTAAAGTAACTAACATAAAGGAACTACAGTGCTCACTTAAATTATTCGGTCAACACGAACAAAAATCGAAATTTCAAAAGCGTTTTTCTCAAATTGGGCTCAAATAAGACAAAAAGTGAAGAAAACAAAAGTTACTTAGATTTTCAGCAGAATTAATTTCGTTTAATTTTCCTCCTTTGAACTTTGTTGTCAAAATTTTACCGTACCGCAAAATCGAGTCATTTTGCCTTTTTTTTAATAATCAAGAATTAGGATGAAACTACAGAATTATTTGATGAGAAGGTTATATAAAAAAACCTCCTACACAGCCCAACAAAATTTTAGAAAAAACAAAGTTCCCAAAAATCTGTATAAGAGAATGTAATTTTGGTTGATAGCCACAAAAAAAAACATTTTTCATTTTTACTACATTTAAATCAAATTTTTGGCTTACAACTAATTTCAGACGCTTCACGCAAGTTTTTGAAAGTTTTACTCTCTTGAACTTTGTTGGGCTGTGTGAGAGGAATCTTTTGAAGTACGTTTCTAATCAAATAAAAGGGTAGTTTTAGCAAAATTCTTCATTGTTTGAAAAAAATACCAAAATGATCTGATCCGTATTTGGGTTAAATTTTGGTTGAAAATTTTGGGATCAAAATAGAACAATATAAATTCTGTTGAAAAAATCTTTTGGTTCACTTCACTTTTTGTATTATTTTAACCCAAATTGAAAAACACGCATTTGAAATTTTAATTTTTGGTCGTTTTGTCCGATAATATAAACCAGCAGTTTATCGAAAACCACGTGCGATTGTCTTTTTCCACCCAAAAAATAAACTTCTGTCGGAAACAAAAGTTGACTTTGTTTCAGTTCTGACCGCGAATTCAAAACGGAGTTTTTGATGCTGATAAGAGAATACTCGTCCAAAACAACACTACCAGTTCCATTGATGCTGTTCGAACTAAGCTACAGCATCCTTGTTAATTTAACCAGCAGGATCAATTCATCTGATATCCTGAGCAACCAGAAACGAAGTTCTAATTTTCGGCTAGAAGAGGTCCAGATTATGCAATACTTTGAAAATCATAGTTCGAGCAAAATGTTGTCAAGGATTGAAAAAAGACTTGATAATGACGCAATTGTTAGTTATGCTTTGAGGAGTATCGACGAGCAACAAGGCAGATTAGCCGATTTGAAAATAGTTTTTGAAGCTGTCGAAAGACAATTAGATAACCGGTTTGTAAGTTTAGAAAAAACAAGTATGATAGCAGAAAGTTATGATTGATGTCATTTTTGCTGTATAAAGTTTTGAAGTAGAACTCAGTTTTTTTTTCTTTCTGAGCCGGTTGCGTGTAGGAAGTTTTTGAAAAAGTACCTAATTGAGAAACTGAATCCATAAAAAATTTTGCGAGACCAATTTTTTTTTTGAAATCCGATGAAGCCCATAAAACGATACGGAAAAAAAAACAATGTATTAGTTTCTACAAAAATTTCACTGACAGACATTCCGAGAAAATCAGTACTTCTTCAGAAATGTATTAGTAAAATGTCACTTCTGTATTAGTTTCTGGCAAGTAGTAGTTTATCTCTGACCAGAATTGAATCAGAGAAAAGTTCGCAGTTCTGAAACAGTACTGAATCAGTACTGTTAGAGTAATTGGTTTATTCTGCTGTTTTGAATTTTTGAAGTTTGGTTCTGATAAAAAAATCAGCGATATTGTTCGGCTATTTCTATGACCAGAAATTGAATCAGAAAAAAATCAGAACAGCATTATTTTGTATAAAATCTCAAAAATACAAAATTCCTAGACAAAAACGTGATTTAAAACAATTTATTTGGTTGGGCTCATTTCAAAAACACTTTTGGCCTTCTTAATAAATGTTAATAAAAAATTTACTGAAAAAAAAAGAAAAAAATTGAAAAATTTCTAAGAAATTCTCGGTTTTCAAACTCAATTTTAAAACAATTAAAAATCAGGTTATTTTTTGTTTATATCAAAATCAAATAAAAATAAAAAATGAAATTGCACAATAAAATTATAAGCAATCATTGAAATTAAGTTTTAGTAATCATCAGAATAAAAATCAGAGTAAAAATTTTTCAAAATTTTCTGATGATCATCAGTCCTAAATCAATTTTTAGTAAAAGAGATGAAGTAACTCATGTCACCAAATAAATCGCCTACGAATTAAAAAAAATGAACTAGCAATCATCAATTTTTGGCCAAAAAGGTTTTGCAAAATTTTCAATGTTTCACGACTAAAGATTTCAAAAATTTAGAAAATATCGATGATTGACGGATAAATGAAAAAAGATGAGATAAGCGGACAAAAGAGTTATTTTACGTGCTAGTTCACGGACGGGTTCATAGTAAGTCACCCCAAAACAAGATTCGGATTCGTATCATAAAAATTTGAAATTTATTCTAGTGCCTACAAAATCACAAACTTTGTTTCAAGTTTGTGATTTTGTTGGCACTGGAAAACTTCTTCCAAGTTTTTATAAAACGAATCTGAATTACAATGTGTAGCCAATTCGCACGAGGTAAAAATTTCGTAAAAGCTCAACTGTTCAACTTTTTTTTACAGTGGAGCCAGTTCGTTACAACAAGTTAACTCAAGGGAGGAAACAATTAATATGGTCCACAAATCCTTATGTAAGATGTCTATCCCTCCATCTCATCCAAATTAATTGTTTTCATTGTTTTACTTTTATTGTTTTATCAATTTAGAGCAAAACTGAATAATCTTAGTTCTGAGATATCAGTCTCACAAAATAAGACAACTCAGCGAATTTAATTCCGAAGACTTTTGTGGGCTGAAGTTAATTTACGGACGGGAACAAAAACCTTGAGTGAAAGTACTAGGAAATTTAGATATATATGGCCCCAGTGTGTTCGACTTTATGACCCAAAGAATAAAAGTTGCTTTTCATTTTGCAGTCAAATGATTAGTTCAAGGATTTGATTCCGGTATCGGCTTCTGCCAGTTTATCCAGCGCTTGAGTTTAATGGGAAATAATCGTTTATAATGAATTATATCGGTGAAAGAACTCAACCCATATAATCGATTTTCATGACCCATTCAACCATGAGAATGGATTTTTAGGGGATTATGTTCGATTATTTTCGGTGTTTAAAAATTTCGATATTTGACAATATAACCAAATTTTTTAGGCCACAAAAATCGATGAAAACTGATTGTTTTCTGCGATAAATTGCTTATAGCTAACTAAACTCTTAAAACATTTGCAAACGTTCTCCAAATTTCGAATCCGAACATTCGTGTTCATCCCGAACCCAAAAAACTCAAAAAAAGTTTCCCCCGTCTAAACCCTCTGCTTTGGTGTACAAACAGTCCAGTTACCTGCAACCACCCCCCGAAAACGGTGGTGGTGGCCTTAACAGGGGGGAGGGGGCTAAAAGTACACCCAAGTAGGTGGGGGTGGGGGTTATTCCATTTATGCAAAAGTCACCAACAACCTCTTAAAAAATCCAGTATTATCAATTTTAATCGATTATAATGGATTATGCCGATATAAAGAATATTCTGTGTATAACCCATTCTTAATGGATTTTAATCGATTATAATTAATTATAATGGATTTCCTTCATACAAAAAATAATAGGATTATAATGCATTTTATTGACTTCTAATCGAGATTGCTTTTAAATTTTATGGATTGATAAAGTTATTGATGAGAAAATTATATCACAGGAAGCGTCCTACGCAGTTCAACAAAGTTTAAGAAGGGTTAAATGTTCAAAAACCAGTATAAGAGAAAAATATTTCTCTTGATAATCAATAAATGTGATTTTTACTATATAAAACCCAGAATCTCTGTATAAAAAATTTTTTAAAATTATTTTCGCAATTTTTTGGAGATTTAACCCTTCTTAAATTTTGTTGAACTGTGTAAGAGGCTTCCTGTGATTTAATTTTTTATCAATTAACAAAATAGTTTCTGCGTAATTCTTGATTAATCGAAAAAAGCCAAAATGACCCATTTTTTGTGAAAAAATTTTTGTTGAGAATTTCGGAGAAAAAATGCAACCATATCAATTCTGGTGAAATTCTAAACAACTTTTGTTCCCATCACTTTTTGTCGAATCTTAACCCAAATTGAGAAAAACGCGTTTGAAAATTCAAGTTTTGTTCGTTTTGTCCGGATAATTTAAATCAGCACTGTATAGACGTTTAATAATAACACAGAGCAAAAATCAGAGCGAGATGAACTCGATTCAATTTCAAGGTTAGACAGTACCTATCCATTTTTGTCTAAAATTTTGTGTTTAACGATTCAGTTCAGTCTGAACGAATCAACTAGAAACATCAACTTCCCTGCTTAGTAAAACAAAATTATAGCAAAAGGATTTGAGTACTGATACAACTTGAAATATTTAAATATTTCATAGCTTGAATAATTTGCTGAAGAAAATATCTTGGTTTTGCAAACCGAATCATTGTATTAAAAAACTTGAAATATTTCAAAGTTGCTTAGGTTGAATAGCCTTCTAGAGAAACTTAAACTTTTTGCAAACCGATTCGCCTATGAGACAGCTTGAAGTTTTTCATAGTTTCGTAGCTTGAATATCTTGCTTAGAAAAACTTGATTTTTTTTCGCGAACCGATTCCATATTTCGCGAACGCAGGATATTTCAAAGTTTCATTGCTTGAATGGCTCCAATATAAACATTTGAATTTTTAGCTATCCAACTTCCTTCATGAAATAACTTGAAAGTATTTTAAAGCTGCATCTCTTGAATAACTTCAATAGAAAAATTTTAACCTTTGACTATCCGATGCGCTTTGTTTTTTTTAAAAAAAAATTCGTAGCTTGAATAGCTTGCTTAGAAACAATTGAGGCTTTGGAAATTTGATTTGGCCTATGAAATACTTTGAAAGATTTTAAAATTTTATCGATTGAATGGTTGCAATAGAAAAACTTGAACTTATCGCTATCCGGTTAACTTAACAAAATCACTTGGAAAAGTTTCAAAGTTTATAATATGAACAGCTTACTTAAAAGTTTTTAACCTTTCTCCCACTGATTCGCTCTATAGAACAACTTAAAAAGTTTTCATATATTTTTTGCATGAATATCTTGCTTGAGAAATACTTGATTTTTTGAGCGGAAAGATTCGCTTCATGAATAATATCTGAAACTTTTCAAAGATATTCGCTGAACAGCTTGCATGGCAAAACTTAGTTTTAACTCATACCAGTTCGATATAAGAAATAACTAGAAATAATTTGAATCGCTGCAATTAGAAAACTTAAAAAATTTGTTTTCGATTCTCTTTGATAAAAAAAATTTGAAATAATTCAAGGCTTCATAGCTCGAATAGCTATCTTACGAAAAGTTAGATTTTCCTGGGATTGATTGGCTGTATAGAATAAGTTGCAATCTTTCAAAGTTTTTTGCTTATTAGCTTGCAAAGAAAAATATGATTTTTGCCAATCAGCTCGTTCTATGAAATAACTTGAAATAGTAACTTGAAATATTAAGCTTGATCAAAATAAGCTATTTTTTTTGCCCACTGGTTCTGTCTAAGATAGAAGTTATAAGTTTCATTTTTTTTTACTTGTTTCAACAGAAAAACTTTAAAATATCGCCATATGATTTGCTTCATGAAATAACTTTAAAATTTTCAATAGCTTGAAAAATTTGCCTTCAAAAACTGCTTAAGTTTTTGCGAAATTTTTCAAAAATTCGTCGCTTGAAAGTATTCAGCAGAAAAAGCTAAATTTTTGCCATCCGAATTGCTTATTGATTTAACGTGAAATTTTTTTCTTCGCCGGAAGTACCTAAAATTTTTGCAAATAGTTTACGATGTGGCGTAAGTTGAAATTGATCGAAAATTTCTGGCTTGAATAGCTTGATCAGATTAACAACTAATTTTTTGCAAGCCAATTGAAATTTGGAGACGAGCTTGCTGGTAAAGAACTGAACTGACGACAGCCAAGTTGCCGAACTCTTCGCTAGCTTTTCCGAGAAGCGAAAACTGCGGAAATTTCCACTGACTACAACCTTTTTAATCACGGAATTTTATCTGGAAACCGAGTGCCAGTCCACCCAAAAATTACCCTGCAGCAATAGCCTGTATCACTGGATAAAGAAGCAACTTGACCATAATACCGAATATCAAACACTTTCTACGGGTTCCCGCGAAACAAGCCTATTTTTCGTAGCGCTCAGTTTGCAAAGTGGACCCCGCTGAAATTTCTCGAGTGGATGTAATATCACAGAGACTAGCGTTATCAATCAGGTCAAACGTGGAATACTCTGAAGAATTTCTAACGCTCAACCAAACAGAAAGACTAAGTCTCTGAAGTCTAAAAGTGTCGTGCATTTTGCCAGTTAGGAAATCAGATTTCGGTAAGACAAAAAACAGATCGCAGCCGACCTTGAGCAGAATGACATGTATGTCTCAGTTCGGCAAAACATCGAAATTTCTTTGTTTTCAATGGAGTAGAGGGTGAAAAACCTACAACTTTTCGAGTAATTTCGCATCGAGTTCGAAACGGGTTGTTGACCATTTTGTTTTCAAATGATTAATGAGAAAATGTGAAACTTTAAAACGTAGTCTTGGAAGAATCATTTCAACATTATTCGATCAGATTGAAAGAGCGGCGACAGTAAATTTTGATATACACATAAAACAGCGAACATTTTAGCAAAAAGATTGAATTAGGACAGAATCGCAACACAAATTTCGCTACTTTTATTGCTATCACTCTCCGCTACCATCTATGTAATCTGAAAAAAAACAAGACTGCTCGTATCAGGGCGAAGCCCTGAATGTTCCGACTGCCATTTAAGGTTTATGGAGCAGTAATAACATTAAAAAATTAAAAGTAACAAAACAAAATGAAAATTTTTTTTTCTTAAATTTGAATATTTTTATGAAAATCATCCCCCCACACGACATGCAAAGTTAAAAGGATAGATTTCGCTCCTTGCAACAAACCAATTATGGTAAATAAGCTTCTTTTAACCAATTTGGAACGATTTCTAATCTCCGCTTACGCGTTAATAGCGCGAAGTATATCGCGCGTTAATTGTCCCAAATTGGTCAAAATGGCAATCTTTAAACCCTCATAACTTTACGAAAAAAGATCACAGGTGAAATATCTTTTCAAATTGAGGCTCAGGACAACAATAGCTTTCGAATGATATAAAAAAAGTCCGTCAAAAGTGGCTTGTTCAAAAGTCGAAATTTGTCTGAAGAAAAATAAACCCAATCCGAGCACAAATATTACGTTACTTTCGTATCGAAAGTCGGAACAACAACAGTAATGTCAGCTCGAAAACAACGACTTTCCACTGTATATTGTTTAGAAAGGCTCCATACACTGCTCTAGCTGAGGTTGCATTATTTTGTCTTCTGTTGAGGAACACGAACATAAACAGTTTTTCCCCTCGTACGAGAAAAAGCGCAGTTGCGCACTAAACGAACTCACTATAACGAAAATGTAGCTTCGTGCAGGAAAAACTTCATCTACCCGGGTTGACAAATTTTTTTTATCATACTATTTCTTATTATGAAAAAAATGCTTATCATACTATTTCATAGACCAAAAAAAAACTAAGAAAAAAGCATATGAAAATATTCCGTTTCCGTTACTTTCGTATCGAAAATCGGAACAACAACAGTAATGTCAACTCAAAAACAACGACTTTCTACTGTATATTGTTTAGAAAGGCTCCATACACTGCTCTAGCTGGGGTTGCATTATTTTGTCTTCTGTTGAGGAACACGAATATAAACAGTTTTTCCCTGGTACGAGAAAAAGCGCAGTTGCGCACTAAACCAACTCACCATAACGAAAATGTAGCTTCGTGCAGGAAAAATTTCATCTACCCGGGTTGACAAAAAATGCTTATCATACTATTTCATAGACCAAAAAAATACTATGAAAAAAGCATGATAAGCATTTTTTCCAGACTATAAAATATTATGATAGACATTTTCTCCATACTATGAAATTGTATGATAAACATTTTTTCCATTAATGAAAGTACCAAAAAAATTATTTTCTGAAATTTTGTGTTTCATCCAAAACACTAACTCTGGACTTTTTGTCATTGGAAAATCCAGAGTGTAACTGGCAGTTACCACGCAGATAAGGTGCACTTGGTGATTTTTGTACATTAATTATTACAATTTCACATTGAATAATATGCCAAAAATGTAACTTTTTGTATTGGCTAGATAATTTTTGGTTTGAAAATTTTGGTAGTTGAGAAAAAAAGGCCTGTGTTTTTACTAATTTATTTTTATCTTAGCAAAAGAAATATAAAAATAATAATCGTGTTCGCAAAACAAAAACACATTCTTTTTGTAATTTTTGGATTATTTGGGCGAAGAACTCATCCTGGACTACGTTATAAACACAAAAATTCAATTGCAAAACTTTTTTTTTCCGCAAAACCTTATATTTGAGCACAAAAGCGAGTTTGCAACCATAAAACGGATTTAAAACTTTTCACCTCAAATTTGTGTTTTTGCTTATGAAAAAAAAGCATATCATACATTTTTCATATATGAAAAACATATGATAACCATTTTTTTTGACCAAAATTAAAATCATGTTTTAAAGAGTCAAAACGCATTTTTAAAACTCATGTAAAATCGTCCAGAAACATCGTTAAAATAGTTTTGAATAAATATTGTTCTATAGCAAAATGCTTGTCATACAATTTTCATATATGAAATTATTATGACCAGAAATTTTTTTGACCAGAACTAAAATCATGTTTTTATTGAGCAGAAAGATTCAAAAATTAAAAAAAAATTTATTCAAGAAAGATTCGAAACAGAAAGAGCAGAAATTTTACGATAAGCATTTTTATTTTTTGGACGTCAACCCGGGTAATTTCATCTAATCCGGCATTTGTGGATTATGGTTTCGTATCTCAGCAAAGAACTTGTCAAGGACAACTCATCCCAGCAGGCGACGTATCCAGATTAAATTCCCTTTTGGAATCCAAAAACTCCAAGTATTTTACAGGTTCACGGCGCACTGAACCAACTCACCATAATGAAAATGTAGCTTCGTGCAAGAAAGATTTCATCTAAATTCATCTAATCCGGCATTTGTGGATTGTAGTTTCGTATCTCAGCAAAGAACTTGTCAAGGACAACTCATCCCAGCAGGCGACGTATCCAGATTAAATTCCCTTTTGGAATCCAAAAACTCCAAGTATTTTACAGGTTCACGGCGCACTAAACCAACTCACCATAATGAAAATGTAGCTTCGTGCAAGAAAGATTTCATCTAAATTCATCTAATCCGGCATTTGTGGATTGTAGTTTCGTATCTCAGCAAAGAACTTGTCAAGGACAACTCATCCCAGCAGGCGACTTATCCAGATTGAATTCCCTTTTGGAATCCAAAAACTCCAAGTATTTTACAGGTTCACGGCGCACTAAACCAACTCACGATAATGAAAATGTAGCTTCGTGCAAGAAAGATTTCATCTAAATTCATCTAATCCGGCATTTGTGGATTACAGTTTCGTATCTCAGCAAAGAACTTGTCACGGACAACTCATCCCAGCAGGCGACGTATCCAGATTAAATTCCCTTTAGGAATCCAAATGTTTAACAGGTTCACGGCAACTTCTGTCCACTAACTCTTCAAACCGGACTGACAAACTTGAGATTGAAATGGATTTAAACTGATTTTTATACAAATACTACTGAATATAAATTGATTTACGAAACCCCAATTAGATATGTAAATCGGTTTAGAACGGATTGAATGGATTTTTACTGAAGAAAAGAACTCGATTTTTTTGCATAAAAAGTGGATTTAAATATCTTTTTGCAAGGTAATGAACATCACAATAAACCAACAAAATTTTTTTTTATTTTGGAGCTTGAGCAAATTAGTTTTACTCACGAAAATCTCAAGGAGAGCTACAGAGATTAAGAGCCACTCGAGGAGAGTTTTATACCGTAATTTTTAGCGCTCAAGAAATTCCGATTCAAATTGTGCAAAACTAAGAATTCTTGTGGCAAAGAGAAGTACAAATATGCAAAAAAATTTTCAACAGTAGCTTATGTTATCAACGTTCTAAGCTCAATTCTGTTATGCAAGTACCATTTCATTAAAATGATATATCAAAAAAAATTAGGTTTGGCTGAGAAAATTTAGATATTATTTGTCTTCCTATGATTTTTTTTTTCAGGCCAAACATCAAAAAGAAAGATCATTTGAAATTTTTTTTTGCACTATCCAGAAAATCTGAATACAATCTGTATAAAATCAAAATTTATCGGGTATAAAAAGGGTATATAGATCGGTTTAAAAATATTTGAATCCGATTTTTTTAATACTCAAATCCGTAGAAAAACGAAATCAAAAAACGTTGACGAAAAACTATTTAAATCGGTTTATAATCTCTATTTAAATCGATTTTCAAGCTATAATTTTTTTAAAGCTAAATCGATTTTAAATCAATTCCAATCATTTTTTCTAAAGCTTCTGCTACCTTATCTATATAAAATTGATTGCAACCTATTTCTTGTCAGTACGGGTGTTGTGTTGCTTTTGGTCGTCAGAGACAGAGCTTCCCGCTCCGGAGTATTATGGATAAAAATGATCTTAATGAAAACGTGTTGTCAAAAATGTTGTCAATAAAAGTCATTATTGCTGCAAGTCCATTATATTGTCATTATAATCAACTACTTTTCAATTTAAAAATCCAATAAAATCCTATGTAATAATTAAAAATCCTTCTGAAATCCATTATAATTTGCAATATTTTTTTTCAATTTCTTAATGCATATTTCATCCCCGTAGTCCTCCATTTCTTCACTCAAGTTCATCCTTTGACCCAGTTTAATTTCTTACTCTCCTATTTTTACTGTCTCCCACATAATCCATTTCTTGATAGCCGCAGATAGCTACGAAGTTTCAGACTCAAAAGCGACTTTGGAACCCATTTCAACAAAACAGCTCTCAGAAAGACAATTTTCGAAGAGAGTATCACAAAACTAGAAGACCGCAATCGCCAAGCACATTCAATCAATTCAAGTATCACAGATTAACAAAACACCATTACTCGAGTTTATTCCAGGAAACTATTAATGCGATCAAAAGCAAAAACCCAACAAGCATCAGCAGAGAACAGCAGAAACTGGACCTCTGCTATTCAATGAGACTCTATTTTTGAAACGACCACTTTTAGAGATTTCAGCATAAAAATCAACACTCTTCAAATTAACCAGCCTATCAAAGCAGCCAGCAGCCCTAATCCTCTTTCTATCTTTCTTGGTAGCAATGGGTTTCGTCAAAAACGCGAATGGCCACAAAATTATCATCTTGATGTTACAAACAAACACATTATCAATTCAAACATCAAAGATACCTCAAAATTCTAGTAGAACCAGGGTCGAGGTCCCAGACTCATGCCCAGCTTTTGAGGGTCGCGTCGCATCTGCATTTAGACCCAAATTGCATAGTCGCGCCGGAGTTTGAGTCCTCACAGTCTGTACATGAGTCGCGCAGTGGAGAACATGCAAAAGTCCTCGGAGAACATGTAATATATTCTAAATATTTTGAAACTAAATAAAAAACGTATAAAAAATGAAGCGTTGGACAGGAGAAAAACTATACGCAGTTCTGACAGTTCTTTGTTTTGCTGGATCTGTCTTGGCCTGGAAAATTGCGCCGTCTCCACGTCGGTCGCGAGTAACTGATTCTCGGTCGCGCCGTCTCCGCTTTGGTCTGGAAAGTCGCACCGTATCCGCCTTGGTCTCTGGCGTCTCCTCTCTGATCGCTAAAGTAGCGCCACATCCACCACGGTGGCGAGGAATTAGTTTTTGGTCGCGCCGTCTCCGCCTCGGTCTGGAAAATCGCGCCGTCTCTACGTCGGTCGCGAGGAAATGGTTCTCGGTCGCGCCGTATCCGCCTTAGTGTGGGCCATCTCCACTCTGATCGCTAAAGTTGCACCGTATCCACCGCGGTCGCGATGACCATTTTCTTGGTCATGGCTTATCCACCTCGGTCAGGAAAGTCGCGGCGGCGTCTCCACCTTGGTCTGAAAAATTGCGCCGTCTCCGCCTTGGTCTGGAAAGATGAACCGTCTCCACCCTGGTATGGAAAGTCGCGCCGTATCCACCGCGGTCGCGAGGAGTTTTTTCTTTGTCGCGCCGTCTCCGCGTCGGTCGCTAAGTCGCGCCGTCTGCGTCTCGGTCTGGAAAATCGCGCCGTCTCCGCTTTGATCTGGGCTGTCTCCAATTTGATCGCTAAAGTCGCGCCACATCCACCACGGGGGCGAAAAATTGGTTTATGGATGCGCCATCTCCGCCTCGGGCATGAAAGTCGCGCCGTATCTAACTTGGTCTGGAAAGTCGAACCATCTCCACCCCAGTATGGAAAGTCGCGCCGTATCCACCGCAGTCGCGAGGAATTTTTTTTGTCGCGCCGTCTCCGTCTCGGTCTGCAAAGTTTCGTTGTCTCCGTATTGGTCTGGAAAATGTCGCCATCTCCC